CATTCGGTCCTATGTTGTTAGCCTTGTGACCAACCCCCAACCTGGAGGACCAGGGTACCTGTCTTAGTCTGACCTCTCCCCCTCGACCAATCTGTCTAGGGAGGTCCTACCAGTCATGGGTATCTTGGATAGAGTTAATCTCAGTATTTTTGAAATGTGTGCTTTATAGAATACTAGACGATGGACAAAGCCCAAAAAACAGTAATTCAGACTATAGTATGCCATTGTTAGAACCATTTAGTACCAATTTAATGAATGAGAATACTAAGGGATAGTCTGCCCAGTTGAACAGTTACTGACGTTTAGAATTTCTATTAGATATGAGGTTAACACAGTCATGGAAATAAGAATGATAATTGTCTGGATTATGCTGGTGATTACCAAAGTTTGGAGGAAACATATCTCGTCTTCATGGTAGAATTTGCTTTTATCATTTGGTATTATTTGGGATATTAAATGTCAAGTTGTTTTTCTGTAAAATATTTGATTTTTCTTTAAAACTATATTTTGTTCTTTCATGGCAATTCTGTACAGTGTTATTCATGTTCCTGTGAACTTGAAGGTGGATGGTGTCTGTTTGAAAGTTGAAACATTTGTTGTGACAGATGCATGGGCATGTGTGAAAATGAGTGTAGAGAAACTTTTGATTATTCATGAACAGGTTTGATATGCATTTTTTTAAATTTTTTAACAAAATTTTAATGTGTTCGGCATGCAATAAAATAACATACAAGTCTTGTTCAAATAGTTTGGTGAATGATAAAATATCTATTTAATCATTGTAATTAATTAATCTCTTTTCGTCTGTCATACATTCAAATGTCCCAGTGCTCTTGTCGTCGTAGGAAACCTTTTTGGAAGTCCTGTTTCGGAGTCATATACAGGCTGTGTGTTGTTTTGGAAATTGTGTTTTTATTCATGTTAGATTACTTTTTGTCCATAATTTATTTGAATTAGGGGAACAGCGGAAATCACATGGTGACAGGGTGAGAGATAGGCTGATTGTGGTAATGTAAGGATATTTTACCCATCAAAAACAGGTGGATCGAAAGTGATTAGTGGCAGGGCACTTGTCATGATAGATCATCTAACTGTTTTACCGTTTCTCTGGAATTTCCTATCAGATGGGCTTTTTCAAACACAGCAAATGTTCTTTATAAAATACTGAATTAACTGTTGACCTTGGGGAATAGATTCAGAAGGAACAATTACTTATGTAGGCTCTTAAGAGCATTTTGTGCAGTTATGCATCTTTTGTGCCATCTTTGAAACAGAACTGCATGTTTGAATTTTGCACAAATTTCACTTTTTGCATGCAAGCACACATGCTGCCATGCTCACACACAACTTTATAATAAAATTGAGGGTGCTAGCAGGTGGAAGGTCTGTAACTAGATGTTAATGGTTTCTGTCGTGTGATACCTGCAACAGAGTTATTCCATTCCCACATGTCGTGTTGTGGTAACACTATTCACCAAACTTTTTGACCAAACCTTTTACATGACCTATATGTAGATTGTCAATTGTACAAACACATTAACAGCACCTTTGCTATGGAATTATAAGTTGTGTTTTACTTGAATCAAGCTTCCGTTATTATTTTTCAACTCGATATATTTGCATGTAATTTTAGACATTGATTTGTTTCGTACCAAGCAGTTAATTTAATAATACTCGTTAAATAGTGTTGGTAGCATATGTTGATGCATGAATGTACATGGAAAATGCAGAATGTTGACTCAAATTCATGCAGTCAATTAATACATCTTTTAAAATGTAACATGTTACCAGTTAGTTTCTGAAAGATTTTTAGCTGCTGAAATTTTCACTGCATGAAACATTTACATTGAATGGGAAGACTTTCATAAACCTTGTAGCATGACTTCAGCTGTTGAATGGCAGAGAGTGATTTATACCTTTCTTTGTGTTCGAAATGCTTAAATATTTGAATTGCAGCTTTCTTCAATGTTGCTACATAATTCTTTTCAGGTATTTCTACTGGTTATGGAACTCCACTGTTTATTTCTCTGTTGTAAGAATGTAAATGTTGTAACTGAACATTATCTGCAGAGGAGTTAGATGTACTTAAATGGTATAAATTCTAAACTCATGCTATGGAGGATTAATGAAGAAAAATTATAAAGCATTTGGAAATTCTGTCTAGTACAAATGACAAAAGTGTTGGTTTTTATATCATGTCTTGTTTGTTTGTAAATTCAATTATTTCCTAGCATAAAATTTCCTTGTATATATTTGTTTCAATATTGGTACATAATCTACATGTATGATACAGATATATTTACAAATCTAGCTTCAGTTGAGCATATGAATTGACATGAATAATCAGTAGTTTGCTGTATATGTGCTTTGTGTATGTGAGTGTGTGTGTATATATCTGTCTGTGACGTCCATTCATGTAGGAGCTTTGGTTGCACCTTGTCCAGCGTCTGACTTTACTTGTCTGGATGGCTCGTGTGTGCCATTGGCACGCCGATGTGATGGTAAAAATGACTGTCCAAATGGCGCTGATGAGCAAGACTGTGGTATGTTTTGTGTTTCCTTTTTTAGAAGATCTGTTTTCCTTCGGAAAACATTTCTTGTGCCACGTGGCCATTGAGACACAGTTATTATTTTTAGTGATGAAGTGGTGAAATTTTATATTTATTTTTGTTTGTAATTTTTATGATAACCCTTGACAGTAACAATAACAAGTTAATGGTAATGCAGGCAACTCTCGGCGAACGTTTGATTTACGGACATTCTCTATAACGAACCTCACCATTCAAAATTTCATAAAGTTGCCAGTAGATAGAGTTCCTTATAAATAAATAAACTTTTAAAAAAAATTATTACAATAATATCAGAAAATTATTATATGATAATTATACTGAACTGTTCTTGGTTAATAAAACTAACCTAGCAAGTAAAAAACGTTGGTTTACATGCCACACCGCGTAGAATGTTTTCTCGTGGGAAAGAAATCGGTGATTACCCCTATTATAATATATTGTATAGACCATTCAACATTTAGCACAGGGTGTTAATGCCTTAAAATGGCTGCTGACGTATATGATACATATCGTAAGAGCTCAGGAATGCAAGATACACATAATGAACAAAAACGTATAACGAACAACGTCTTGGAACAAAACTCGTTCTTAAACCGAGAGTTGCCTGTAATTTAATTAAATTCTTTATTATTAATTTTCTGTCTCATGTGCCATTTAGCTAATTACAGATGCAGCACAAAGAATAATTGTCATGTTATTGATAATAATACTGATTTGATGAATGATAAATAATTTATTTTCTTCTAGCACTTGTACACTTTGAAGGTAAGCTAGTGCTAGTTCTTGGACAGAGCTGTAAATAGCTTTTTGTATTTTGTACTTGCTTCTTATCATGTTACGCATCTTAAGCACATTGCTATTTGTTCATACTAATGTTATAATTAATTTATAATCTCCTGTGTAACAATTTTTTTGTTTTATTATCAGAAGATAGGGGCTTATGGTGGTATGAACCCCTGTCTAAAAAGTCCTGATCTGTGTGTAAGTGTAGGAAATGTGTTTAACTACAGGAGGTATAAGATGAAATTGGACTGCAGTGATAGTATGGAAGATTAATTTTGAATGTTTGAGTGTACAAATCATTCTAAAGTAAAGCCCTGTTGGCTATATGCCATGGTGACGCTTGTGGGTAGAGCCATTAGAGCTCCTACTCATTTTTGACCTTGGTACTAGATGGGGTAAGTGGTCAGCATCATTCTCAGGCTGCATTTTGCTCTTGAGGGTAGGAACCCAAATAGAAATAGGGACTTGGCAGGCCACAGAACTATTCTTTAAAAAAAATTCTTTGCCCCTACTGGGGATCAAACCCCAGCTGTCTAGTCCATAGACTGAGCTACCCCAGCTTTTACAGAACAGTGTAATTTTGGCCTAATATGGTCTGATATTTGTTTAGACGTGTAGTTGAGGGAATTGATGTATAATAAAGACAGTCCATTGATTTAATGATGGGCAGTGAATCTTTAATAATTATATTCATTTACATAATGGTTTATGCACCAGGTGAAGTCAAACCTTCTTGTGGACCTGGCAAGTTCAGATGTAATGATGGTGCCTGTATCGATGAGGATTATCGCTGCGATGAAGTTGCAGACTGCCGTGATGGTAGTGATGAACGATTCTGTGGTGGCGTAACTGAAGGCAGTGGTATGTACGAAGGCGTCTTCATGCTTACAGAAGGGTATGAAAACTTTGTATCTGATAGCAAGAGCTTTCTGTTTCAAGTTGATTGGAAAGATTTTAATTGTGGTTACAATGAGTTCTATCAGAAGCTAGTTGAGTTCAGTTACCATTACCATTTGAGGTTCTATTTAATTGCACTTATATTCTGGTCTTGAGTGTCTGCTTTCCAAGGAACTGCATGGTAAAATTCTGGATGCACATTTGGTCTCGTTTCAACATGCATACCCAGCCCTGCTTATTAAAACATTTGTTTTACTATCTACCTCAGAATTTCTACTCCATAATACTCCCCATTTCCTCTTTGTTTAACCTGTCTTAGTTTCAGCACTTTATTTTCAAGTTATTTTAAACTTACGATCTTTAATCAAAGTAATGAGACCATGTTTCATACCCTTTAAGAACAGAGGGGAAAATGATTGTGCAGTTTTAAATAATGTGGGCAGATTTGTAGTTAAATTTTGTGTTTAGTGAATAGATTTGTAGATGTACGTTGTAATACACAGACCAAGATGGTAATATGTACAAAAATGGAGAGCTCTTGTAATCCGAGTCAAGGTCTGCTGTTTGTTTCCTTTTCTTGATCATGTAATTGGAGAGAGTAACTTCAGTTTCTCATTAAAGTGATCTGATTGCATTCTATGAGAACATCACATAATTATAGACTTCAACACACTTACTGTCACTTATCAGGATACTTTGTCTTCCAGGCTAGGTGTTGAGAGTTACCATGTACAGGCAACTCTCGGTTTACGAATGTTCGCTATAATAACGTCACAATTCATTCAAAATTTCTTAAAAGTCGGCAATAGATAGAGGTCCTTATACAAGGAAATGCCCAACGTATAGTGAACATAATTGTAAGACTTAAAAAATGTATTTATTACAATAATTATCAGAAAATTATTATAAGATAATTATACTGAACTGTTCTTGGTTAATGAAACTAATCTAGCCAATAAAAAAATGATTTACATGCCACACCGCGTAGAATGTTTTCTCGTGGGAAAGAAATCGGTAATTCGCCCTATTTTGATATAATAGGACCATCACTTGCCTGTACATGGTTTTAATGATTTAAAATGGCTGCTAACATATATGATACATATCATAAAAGCTCAGTAATGCAAGATACACATAACAAACAGAAACTTATAACGAACGTCTTGGAATGGAACTTGTTCATAAACCGAGAGTTGCCTGTATATATTTGTATTTCCTCTGTTTATATAGGAGTTACTGTTTTGTATTTGGGTGCAACTAAGTTTGTGGACAAAATTAGAATCTGCATTATGCTACAGTCGTTTTGAATAGCACAGTTTTGCCGATTGGAGTTTTGACACGGCTTTGCTTTATTAGTCTGGGTTCTTAATGTGGTGAGGTAATCTTCTTATTTGCTGTTTTTCTTTATTGTGATAAGACCTCTTACTTTGTCTTGTTAATTTCATAGAGTAAGCTTGGCCTGAGTCTGCAAAATTAAGGTCTATCATATTCTGTTTGTGATTGAAGGTTGTAAATGTCTGGTTAGTTACTCCAGACATTAAACTTTGTTGCTTCAGTGTACGTCATTGTTTTAAAGCTTGATAGTGCCTGTATGAATACATTGTTCCATTGCAGAAAGCTAAGTATAATTATCTTCCCTAGATGCTCTTCTTGTGTTCTTGATCATCTCTTTCACTTGTTGCTTTATGTTTTGTTTGTCGTTGCATTATTTTTGCTTTGGTTAGTTACTTGTGCTCCTGGTGACATTGTGTGCGGAGATGGATCTTGTGTTGACCCAAGACAGCGATGCGACAAATTTTTCGACTGTGCCGATGGAACTGATGAGAGAGATTGTGGTAAGTATGGATACTTGAAGCTAAATTTAGAAAAAATTAAGACGTTACTGTACGTGGTTGCCTAAAATGACCGTGCGGTTACCCCTCTTAAGACATTCTGTATGGTTTTTGACTGTTTGGTCAGTGTTAGGTTTGTCAGCGAGACACTGCTAGACTGCCATATCTGTGAAAATTTTTTGTTTTTACTTTGTTTATTGTTTATATTTAAATAAAATTATGACGTTTAAGAATCTGGATGTTATATCTTCAGGTAAAAAAGGAGGGGTACAAACCCTAGCTGTTTGCACCAATGGTTGAGCTAATGTCAGACCTGAACAGCTTCAACATAGAAATGCCCATAGCAGGAAACATCGGACAACAATCTTCTATGGAAGATAATTCATGGATGTATGTAGATGGGCATGAATCCATAAATTATATCCCAAAGATGATTGTCATTGAGAGTAAATATTGTACATTAACAGGACAGGTTGAGCACAGTATTGTCTTTTCTTTGGCGCCTGGGTCCCGGGCTTGGTGCGAAGCACCCCCCGCTGTCAGAGAGAGACCTCTCACGGACCGCCCAACATGATCCTCCACACTTGCTCCTAAAGGCACTTCTTTGTCTGTCGTAGACGGAGTCGAGATTGGATGTTAAACAGATGGCCTAAACATGACTTCTAGCTCTTAGGGCTGAAGTCCACCCTTGTTCTCTGCAGGTGGTGCTAGAATCTTACAGAAAGGTTTTGAAATACTGGAAACACACACAAAAGAAAAACTAACAAAACCTAACTACTTCCAGATGAGCGGTTACAGTAGACAAATGGAATAAATAAATTTGTCTTCTTGTGAAATGCATCTGAGGGAAATGGCAAGATTGAAAGGGAGATAAACAAAAGAATTAATTAGTTATGAATTTATTGTGGAATTAAGATGTATACAGAAAATTACAATATGTATGTATTTTATAAAGGTACCATGAAACAGGACATAGACAGACTGAAGTAAACTGTAAGCAGTTGAGATGGAATTCCTGAGCATAATAGTAGGAGAAACCAGAAAAGAGTTAGAAACACATTAGATGAGAGCTCACGATGAAGGAAATCCAGAACCAGATTGCGAGAAGTAGTTTGAGATGGATTGGACATGTTAAGAGAATGGATGCTAAGAGAATGCCAAAAAGATTATTAAAAAATGAAGCTTAGTGGAAGAAGACTCAGGGGCAGACCATGCACATGATGGATGGGGCAGATCAAGAGAAGTGTAGAAGATGAGACAGAGGAGGGTAAATGAAATGCAAGAATGGAGAAGCAGAGACAGTTGGAGACCTCTAAGCAAAAGCTGACAAATGTGTGGAAGCGACTTGTAGAATAGGAAGAAGAAATGTTACTTTTGGCGTGTCCATTTATCTCTATCTCTTTATAATAATATAAGAGGTAGAGGAGTAAAATGTGATGTGACTGTTTTTCGATTCTCATCGGTTCGTTAGAACTTTTGATACACTAATGTTAAAGTTCTTCTATAATCTCATTTATCCCCAAAACACTTATTTTATTAAGGGGGATTATATATGGTTAATTTGAATAGGAAGCTGTCTGTCATACAAAATTGTGTTTTTAGTTATGCCAGTAGCTGAATATGGAAATTGTCCTTTCACTTTGTCAGTTCAAAAATGAGACAGCCTTTATCTCATTAAATAAGGCATGTTTAAATGTACATTAAATGTTGCAGTGAGATCTACTTTTCTTGTATACAAATTTGTTTATTGTTACCAAACACAAAAATGTGTTTATGGTTGTTGGAAACATGTCTGTTTATGACTGACATGTGTTTTGCAATGTTTTTGCCCTGAATTCAAGCACTCCCAACAAGTTATACTCATAATTACCACATGTTTGGCATGCTAATAAGTGCTATATATTAGTTTAACTCTTAAATCAATATAAGCCTAATTGAATTTAAATATAATTTAATTGAAGAATATGATTTGCAGTCATGTTGATGGCTTCGCAGCTTTCTGGTCAATTCCCTTTTCCCTTGAAGTGAACACTATTTTTCTTATAGTTGTCATATGAAAAGAAACAATTAATTTGTAGTGCAATGTTCTTGCGTAGTTTATGTTTTGTCTTGTGTTTGTGTTGTTACGTCTGCTTCTTGCTTTTTGCGCCTGAAATGGTAACAGGATTGTGTACTCCTGCTGAGTTCCGATGCGAAGATGGACAGTGCATCCCTGAGGAGAAGCGCTGTGATACGAGATCTGACTGTAGGGATGGTTCGGATGAACTAGATTGCAGTATGTTTCACTTGTATAACTGTCTGAAATCCATGTTACATGTAAAATTAATGAGGTGAGAGAGAGAGAGAGAGAAATTTGTGCTTGCTTACTTTACCAATAGATGGCACAGTGGAGGGCTGTCTAGATTGTTGTTTGGCGGTTACCACTCCTGTTCTTTATTAGGGAAATTACGAGTCCATTACTGAGGGTGGACGCTGTATACTGATGGGCCTTTTTCAGTTTTCCAGGTACCTCAAGATTATTCATGACTTCCCTTTCATTAATTACCAATTCATGATTGTCCAGTTCAAAGCTGTAATAAACTATGAAGTTGATACATTGCTGTTGAATAACTATACAAACAAGACATGACTCTACTGTCATCCAGGTTTCATATGTTAAACCAGGCATAATATTTAAGCAAAATATTTAAATAATAAACTAGGCTGTTTCTGAGGAACATACAGAGTTATACTATATGGACATCTCTTGAGAGTTGTCTACTTAGTTGTCACTCAGGGTGACTGGCAGTGTCAAGGTCACGTGAGCAGGTATTTCTACTGTCTCCCTCTCGAAAGTCACTGTGAATTAATCTGTTGAACCTGATTTTTCTGGTGGTAGCGATTGCTGACGTGTGACCACATGAAATGGTATGAGCAAGGTGATTTAGGATTGGAGTGGAGCAAATGTTTTTTTTTACCGCACTTGTTCGCAAACCTTCTGTTCTGACTCTCTACAATTATTCTTTGCACATTTGGCTATCGTAACCACCTGTACAGTAGGTAGATCTTACTTCAGCTGTGATTACGGAGGCGGCATGTTCCTCTGAAACATATGAAACACATCACCCTCAAGTACAATCAGCATTAATGAGGTAAAGTTTGTCTAATCACATATTTGATTTCACATACATGTGAACTGAAAGTTGTTCAGTGAATTTATTTAGGTCCGTGTCAGTCCATTGTATAGTATCTGCTTTATATTCATGTAGTATTGAAATTAGCAAAGTTATTAGAAATTGTTTCATCATATAACATCATTTGGTTCCATAACTTTTATTTCAAACATGTTCTCAAAGAAAATATACCTTCCCATTCATGTTTCATTGTTACAGGTACCATTCTGTGTGAATTGTGAAACTGTTCCTTATGCAATACGTGGAAAAAGTTAAAGTTTCACTTGTGCCTAACATGTTGCTATCAGGGTGTACAGTAAATGTGGATATAAGTCTGTTGTGTCATGGATCTGAGATCTAGTTAGGGGGTGAACTTTATATTCCGGCAGCTTTGAATCAAGCTTTTGTTTTTTATAACACATACATTTATGAAATGTACTAGAAAATAGGAGTTATATCCCGCAGATATCTGAAAATCTGTGTTACTGAAAAATAAAAGTATGTTTTTGAATCTCCATAATGTTACTTGTGTTTGTAAGTGCTTCTTTCTCTCTCTCTCCGGTAATTGTTTTGTGTAACTTGTGAACTAACGCTACATGTGTTAGCTTTATAATGATAATGAGGGTTACTAATGTTTGTTGTGGTATTTGACTCGGTTTCAAAAATTACTTAAGGTTTACAGTTGCACCTTTCTTTTGGTGGTGCACTCTAATTAATTTTGTAAGAGCTTCTTTATACTGTTGTTCCATGATAATTGAGTATTTTTATGACATTTTTATAAAAGTACTTCTTTTTTCGCTTTGAAAGCCTGATCATTTTAGCGCCACTGTGTTTATTGTTACCAGTATTTCTTCTTCGTGGACTTTTCCCTTTTCATAGTTTTTCTGTTCCCATAAATGATCAGTTTTAATTGTTCCTTTTTTCAAATTTGATTTTTAAAATATATGCTTCTATGACATAGATACCACAAGTGCTGTGTACTGGCCCATAGTAAAACTTGTGTGTGTGTGTGTCTGTATTTTCTGTAGATGCTTAGCCAAAAGGTTTAAAGTGGCCCATCCACGTATGAGTTTGGCTTGCGAGTCTGGCTCGGCTCGGGTTCCATTGAGCCAAACTCGTTTGTGGGTGGGGTGTCACGAGCCGAGTCTGCTGTGCATGTGTGGTGAAATATATCCAAGCCCGGCTCACGAGTCGCTTAAGGCTCAGGTTTATAGATGCTGAATTACGGGCTTAATACATTAATGTTCTTGTCTGGTATTAAAGCAGTGGGCAGATTTCCCAGTCTGCACTGTGTCATATTGCGAAACAAGCCATGCGCTCTCCATTCATGTGTGATACAGCTGTTGTTCCATTCCACAAGCATCTGTCCATTATTGTTTATTAACTAACAAACAAACGAAGTCTGTGTGTTGATAGAAAGGAGAAATTCCTTGTTTGTATGCCTCGTACTTCTGTGTGACCCTTAGTTGTAGCAACATCACGTTCATGTGAGCTTGACAATAATAAGATGAGGGGACGGTAGAGAATTTAAAATACTGTCACTAGAAGCTTGTCTGTGCCTTACTCTCAATAGCTACAGCACGGCTGCAGTTTGCAAAAATCCTTTTCATCTTTATTTAAGAGATACAGACATTTTTGTTAGCATTTATTTATTGCCTATCAGTAATTCCCTTGATGTGGCTTATTGGAGAGATGTGCTTATACCTTGAGTTTCATGTAAGGCAGTGGAATGGGGTTTACAGAATCATGCAGGCCGGACGAATTTAGATGCAACGATGGAATGTGTCTGGAGGGCAGCAAGGAGTGCAATGGTTACCCAGAGTGCGGGGATGGGAGTGATGAGGCAGACTGCGGCAATGGGCGTATGTTTGGCACAGACTAACTCTAACATCAAGTGCAGTGTTTCTCAGTCTTAGGTGGAATAGTGAAGGAAATAAATGTAAAAAGCGTTTGTTTAGGAAACAAGAAAATATTTCATGATATTTTAGGTCCTTATGGCAACGAATATGAAGGTGACTGTCTTCTGGGCTGTTGTGCCATGTATTCTAGTAGAAATTGACCCTGATGATGGGGGTAGTAAGGACCTATGAAATATCAGTTTCTATGTGAGTACAAGGTGCTACAGCTCAGAAGACAGACATGTTCAAGAAAATACTCTGATTGGAAATTCAGGGGAAGATACTACTTAGGAGTTCTAAGCAATGACAGAAAAAAATTCAGGGTGGAGGGCAAATACATTAAAATAATTAATTGAAATTAAAAATGGGATTAATTGTGATGATGGAACATACACAGATTGCTAGAGAGTCTCTGAAGGTTTTCTTGGAACCCCATGAGTTAAATAGCAGAGAGATAGTGATTCTTGATAGGGTTCAATAAAATGCTTTTGTGGAACTACAGGGGTCATTTTTAATTAGCTAAATTACTGTTATCTGCTAAAAGAAAACTTTTTTCACATACTCGGTTGTCATTAATTGTACTTATCACTTTGGTTTACTGGGTTGTGATGCTGTGTAGATCTGTAAATGTTTACCAGTGTTTCAAGGAAACACTGGTAATCACCTTCAAGACTACATGTTATCATCCCAGAAAACCATATTCAACATTTTCACCAGCGTGAGGAGATATATATATATATATAAAATCTGGCTTTTATAGCGACTAAGTATAATGGATTCTTCGTGGGCTACCAGCTGTGCCAGGGAGTTGGAATGGATAAACACAAATGTTTTTTGAGAACTATCTTTGTCCTTGTCTTCAGGGTATTTCAGTACTCTAGTATACTGAGGGTAAGGATGAAGATTGTTCTTGAAATGTTGGTGTTCGACTTTGTTCTATATGGTTCATATTTAAGGATATTACGTGGTATTTTTAAGTTGTGTGGGAATTTATTTTGTTTTTGAACTGAGACATAGTGTGACTACTGGGAAACATTGCACTAAACAACAAGGATTTCTATGTGGTGACAGTTTGTACAGCCATCTTCCACTAGTGTTTCTTATAAAACTGAAATCTTTAATTTTGTGATGGTTAATTAAAAGTGCATTTTTTATTAATACAAGTTTTACAATGCTAAAGGTAAGGATCTCACGCTAAATTGAATTAATGAGAATGATTTAAAGTACTGTAACCACTTATGAAATCCTTAACAATAGTTGCTTTAAGCTCCGTTTTGAGCTTTGCATGCATGTTAACATACATGTGCTTTGTTATGAGAGGCTGTGTGTATGGGATAATGTTTTTAATAATTGTTATTTTAATACGCATCTTGTGATATTTTCTTTTCTTTTTAGACGTGTAAAACTCAGACACATGTTCTGATGGATGAACATATAGTAAGGGTATTCTGAAGTTCTGAGAAGAGTATTTTGACTTATAACTGTTTAAGTAACAAGGGAGTGGAAAAATACGTAATGTGAATCTTCACAATTTAAACTTTTCATCTATTTCTGTGGGAGCAAGTAAGATGAGGATTTAGAGTATGGACATGTAGCAATAAGAAATACATGCAAGATTTAGTTTAGAATTGAAGGGAAGTTGGAGGCACAGGTGGAGTGATAGTAGTAAAATAAGACTTACTAAAGTATGCTATGATAATATGAACTAAATCAAGACGGTTCAGTGTAAAGTCTACTACTTTGCTCTCTGTGATCATGGCAACAGGGAATCTATTGACAAATTGAATAACTGTAGCCGTATAGTTAATTTAATTAACGGTTAGTTCTGTTATAAGCTTTTATGTTATAGAAATGAGTTTTAGCCCACCTAGCTATGTGCCTCATTCTCCATTGGTTATCAATGGGCAAATCAGATATAACAGTTTCCACTGACTTGCGGATCTGTGCAAATTGGGTAGTTACTTCATATCGATGATGGAGACAGTAAGGTTCTCTCTAATAACTGTTCAACAAAACATCCTATACTTGCTGCTATGAGGATCTAAAGTCATCTTCAAACTCACTGTCATGAGAACCTGAAGTTTCATTGGCAGTGAATTGTTTAAATCAGTGGTTTCCAACATTTTCTTTTCGCCATGGACCACCTGAAAATTGCAGTGGATTTTGGGAGAACAATTAATGATTTTTCTGTGCTTAGTTTAACAAATGTAATGAGCTGTCCTATACACGCAATTGTTCAGCAGAAATGCTGGAACTTTTGTATTGCTTGTTTATGTATTTTTTATGTTGTTTTATAATATTTTGCAAGCCCAGTTATTCTGTGGACAGTGTGAATGAAGCTCACAGGTAACTTGTCCACAGATCACATTTTGGGAACGTTAGCTTTAAATAATGTAATTCAAAAGTCATGCACCCAAATCACATACCTCTGTTTATTGTATATGTTTTTTGTTTTATTTGTCTTGTGAGGTTTGTGTTTTGATTGTTTTCCCATTTATGCAGGATGTTTAAGCAACCAGTTCAAATGTAATAATGGATTGTGCATATCGGAGACCTTCAGGTGTGATGGGTACAGTGACTGTGAGGACGACTCTGATGAAGTTGGATGCTGTGAGTACCTATTTTCTATGCAGAAGCAACATACAGTCCAGTTCCATACTACAGTCTTTATGAACCAGGAACATAACAATTGATTTGCATACATACACAGTTTGGGAGGCATCTTTGAACAAAATTAAATTATAATGGTGTATTGTATTTGCTGTCTTTTTCATCATATATCATGTAAACCCATAAAAGAAAAATCTTCTCTTGTGATCAGTCTTGGAACTTATTTAATGTGAAGTAGGATGTGGGATATAATGCGACATTGAACACATTACGTTGTTAACGAGTTCGACATTGTCTTATTCACTTATGGTAAGACTACCCTCAAGACAGTATCCACTTATGTTCAATTGTTGCAGACCTGTTATCCTGTTTATGCCAGCTGCTGCAGTATGAATTTTAATATTATCCTTCACTTTTTAAAATTATTTGTAAAATATAGATGTCTTGGCAATTATTTGTTATAGTATTTTGATTTTTGCACCAGTGCTTTCAAAATTTTGAACAAATTATTCCATTAATTTGAAATCTTGGAAATTCGAGAATTGGAAAAAGCTAAATGTGTTTCATGTTTACTTATTATTCTGTAGTTGAGATGATGGACATCTTTCTTTCCAGCTCCAAGATGTTCGAGCAATGAGTTTGAATGCAGGGACCAGTCTTGCGTCCCTCTCTTCAGGAAATGTGATGGATCTGCAGACTGTCCGGACCGCTCGGATGAGTTTGATTGCCCAACACAAGGCAAGACTTTCTTTTCCCAGAGAGGCATATAAATAATTTTCAACCTTTTCTGATTTGGATATATTATTTTTACAGACTGCATTTGTCTTCACATTTAATCTCTAAAACTACAGCAGTCAGTATAGTGACTGGCTGCGGACTGGATGACCAGGGTTCGATCCCTGATGGGGGCAGAGGATTTTTCCTCTAGTCTCTGGATCCAGATTGGTTCTGGAGCCCACCCAGCCTCCTATCAAGTGGGTACCGGGGTCCTTTGCCGGGAGTAAATCACGGCTGGAGCATGATGCTGAAAACTCATATATGTAGGGCATGCATATTTGATTTTGACAGTTGTACTTGAAAAATTATTGGATATTATTTCTTTCAGCTCCAAAGACATGTGCATCATTTGAATTTACCTGTCAGGATGGAAGCTGTATAGATTCACGTAGAGTCTGTGATCGTCGAACGGACTGCAGGGATGGGTCTGACGAAGCTGATTGTGGTAAGGAATCTTTCGCAATGATAATTTTTTTTCCCTTAACTGTGTAAACATCATGTTCTCTGTTACTTGTAATTAAATGCGACATGTTGAAGGTTGGAAATGGAAAGTAAATGGAGTTCTGGGATCAAGATGCTTCGTCAATGGAACAGTGTTCCATCATTCTCCATTTCGGAAGGGGTCATTGTAACTGCAGGCCTTAAAAGGAATATTTAGAGACTTCCAAAAGCAGGGGACAGGGAGAGAAAAAGTGCAACATTGGTTAATGGACAGATCATGAAATAATTTGGTTTTGTTGTATATAAATTGGCACACTGCATCTGACTTGCACTTAAGAGGTACTCAGTTTGTTCTCAAGTGGGGACAAGCTATCCTGACAGGTTATCATGATTTTATTCTGTCTCTTTAGACAAATGATGGAGTACTCTATTGAAAATGACCACGATCAGTCTTCCAAAATAAATCAGAGCTGTGCACAATTGTACTTTTATTTAAGGTTGAGAATTGTAATTAGCAATTTTGTTACGCTTGTCATCCAAGAAATGAGATTCAAGCAAAATATAAATATCTTGAGTTTAATAATAGAATATTTTAAATGGAATTGTATTTTGGGTGTTCCTGTAGTGTTTGATGTTAGGTGAACACTGTTTTTATATAGTCTGGATGCAAAACACTGCTTCACTTTTGGGTATAGGTGAACCACTTAATGGTGGAAAGTGTCTTCCTGAGGAATTCCAGTGCCTGGCTGGCGGACAGTGTGTCAGCGGTGACCGCAGATGTGACAACTTGTACGACTGTCGTGATTTTTCCGACGAGCAGAATTGTTTGGGTTAGGTTATGACATTTACACCTCTCCCCCATGTCGTGTATGCTTTCCCTCATGTAATTTACAATACTTAGTATTCTCTTTTTTCGCATGGAGAGTTGAAGGATATTTTTTCTACTGTTTTGTATCATATGTATGTCAGTATAAAATCAAATTAAAATAAAACTAATTTCAGTTTAGTGTATATACTGCAATGAAATAACAGTCACTTTCTTCGTATCTGGATATGTAACGTGTAAGGTCATCTACACTGTTCTCTTTTACTGCTGTGAAGATGTGTTTAGGAATGGCCTGGCGGTATTTGCGGAATGCGTGTAGCCCCTTATTTTGTTTTACATATATCCTGTCTTAGTGCAATAAATATTCTTAGATGGCATCAGCCAGAACAACAACAGACTTTATTAAGTTGACTGTCTTGTGGTGTGTTGTGCCATGTGGTCTGGTAGAAGGTAAAGTTTGCTGACATATCAGAGGCAGCAAGCACCTCTGAAAAGTCTGGAAATTTCTACCAGACTACATGGCACAACAACCCAGAAAATAGTCTTCATATTTCCTGCTGTGAGAACCTGTATCTTACACCACAAACTTGATTTGATTTAAAACACGAAGATTCTTGGGAGAAAAAGGAAGTTCTATTAAAATATATTTAAAAAGTCGTCCATGTCCCTTATTTTGGGGATACATTATTAACATTTATGATGAGCTCTGCTACTGTCCTAGTTCACATATGTATGTTCTTTTCTGTCAAGTTCTTCGATGTGATTCCATTTCTTTATGCTCATTTAGATAGATTGAGCATAATTTCTGTATGTACTGTCATCATTCTGCCATCTCTGTATCTTGTAATTCCTTACTGACAAAGTATAATGTATGCGTGTGCTGTTGTTCTGTTATCTACGTATAAGAGCACTATTAGGCATGCAACCCAAAGTTTAAAGATAAGTAGTTTGTTGGTGTGGTGGGGAAATTTAAAATTTCTATGGCCAGTTGTAACTCTGGATTTCTGTCACCCCCAAAAAGTCAGTGTTTTGCTAAGTTTCTTTGTTGATCTTTTGTCGGTTGTTTGTGTAGGAACTATTATTCCACTTTCAACAGTGTTATGTATGTTTATTGTTGAACATTTTTAAAACATTTATATGAAGCTGTTAAATATGCATATCAGGTGAACCTCCCTAATGCTGCTGGTACTGATAAGGCAACCATTTTTTACTTGTCAATCATTGGTACCACTTTTCGCAGAGTTCTTATGAATATGTTTAAAAGTGTTATGTCTACACCATGGTTATCTTGTTTCCCTTATAATGCATCACTTTGCAATTGATGTTACAAGTGTTGTGGTCCATAATTGCATGAGAAAGTGTTCCCAATTTCCAGTTTTTGCATTTTGAGACAAATATGGCTTCTTTAGTGATGGTGATTGTATAGTGAATGGTGGAATGCTGTCTTCTCCTGGCATGGACGCATGGGAGTTATCAGTAGATTCATCTCATCAGTTTCTGTAAGTTGAGGGATAATTTTAAATCTGAAAGCTACATTTAATTTGACAGGTTGCTCATCCAATGAATTTCAGTGTGCATCTGGCGAATGCATCAGTCTGTCAGGTCATTGCAATCGGCGTATTGAGTGTCGCGATGGCAGTGATGAAGAGAACTGCCGTAAGTATTATATAATCACCATACTCAAATGCAGACACGTGTTAACTGGGGAGGTTGGATGTGGGATAAGACTCTCACTGAAAGAAATTGTTTATTAATATTACTGTTGATTGAATTTTGCTTTTAAAGCAGGTTAAGGAAATTAAGTGTTGTAGTTACATAATCTTTTCCTTTTACCACCATGTATGCAAACGTCACTGGTCAACATTCGCATTATCCCTCTTATGATGGAAGTGGAGATTCTCTGAAATTTTGGGCTTTTATTTGCAAATGACAAGTTTGTTGACTGAGAAGTTTCATGTTCAGTCGCTGTGAAAGTTTCATGTCATTTTTTTAAAATAAATTGAATGTACTTGATGCAGATGATTATTATGGTGTTGATAATCATGATTTTTCTTTAATTTTGTTTATAGCAACACCCCGTCCTCAGCCTCCTCCCTTGTGGCCTCCTTCCGGTGGTTGTCCTCCTGGCCAATCACCTTGTCGCACTCCAGGACAGTGTGTGCCTTCGTCAGCCATCTGTGATGGTAGAGTCGACTGTCAGGATTTCTCAGATGAGGCCAATTGTGGTGAGTTTAGTTAATATTCCTTTATTTCACTCTTGCATATGTTCAGTAATCCCTTTCTTTTCAGTTTATGTCAGTGTTAATTTGATTAATTCATGTGTGATATTTTTGTGATCGCAGTATTAGTACTTCATGGTCTTTTTCTTTGTAGTTCAGATTGTTTTGACTGTAGTTTATGTCCATTTACCATGTAAATGTATTGCTGTACCCATAATAAGCCTGAAACAAATGCAGTTTATGATAAACTTGCTGTTTCTACCCTTTTGTTTATGTTGTTAGATGCACCCGAGAAGGTTCATTGTGAAAGGATGGTCAGTTCTTATGATTGATGTTAGAAGCCAGTTAAAGAACTCCTCTTTTTTCATATGTAACACTGTTACTTTTAAAGTTTATTGGGTTTATTGCACCTCTTTATAATAGTAATTGTTGAATTATTAATTATTGATGTCTTCTTCATCATCATATATAGGTATATGGCCCATCATAGGCTGTCTCTCTTGGATTAAATTGAGTGCTCCTTCAAGAAATGATTAATTTTCTGTTTTTTGTACACGTAACAGCCACTTTTCTCTCTTGCCTAAAATATTTCTTATTAGGAGAATATACTATGATTCCATATCTCAGTCTTACTATTCTGAACAATCAAATTGCTAATCCTCTCAAAAAACACATCTCGGCAAACAATTTTATGTCCAATAGACGTGTCATGAAGTATACCATTTGATTATACAATGATAACCCTTGAAAGGGCCATTTTCAAGTCCTGGTGTCTTTAATATGTTGTCCCGAATCCCTGAGTCCGTACAAAAATGAATGAGATCTATGGTTGAAGCTTAGGGTTCTGTACAGCGAATTGACAATGCCAAGTCTTGAAAACAGTCCTTTCAGGGGTGAAAATTATAATCTGTGTTGGGGCGTGTGGATTTGATTCTTCTGGCTCAGGATGGGGGCTGGCCGAAGGCAGGAAATTTGACTTACTTCTGTAGGAGGAGTTTGCTCCTTGGAAGTTGTTGATTTGTTTTTAATTTTAAGTGTTTTCCAGATGATTATTCAGCAGGGATGTGAAATGAAAATTATTATAAATCTAGCTTTATATCCATTTAATTTCAAACTGTTTGTACGTTGTGCCAGAAGTCTTGGTTTCAAGACTGAATTGAGTCCAGTGCAGTATCTTCTACATAGATTCCCCATTCTTTACCTCTTACTTAATCAAAATTCTGTGACTATGTTAGCCTGAAGATTTGTCTGTAATTTTATCAGTCTTAAATGGAATCTTATCCTTTGAGTTCATTCGATTAACAAATGGATTCCTTGCCAGAGACAGAAAATATTTGGCACCTTAAAGGGATGAGTTTATATTGACATGTTGGAAGTATTTTCTTTACAATTTTTATAAATACAGTTTAAGATAATGTTTGTTACTGGTTTACAAATTTTTAGTCCTTCCATTTCAAGATGGACACTTATTTAATCTTGTGATCAGTTGTTGCTGAAGAGGGAGAGAGGTCGTGCTCCTATGCAGAATTCCGATGTGAGAACGGCCCATGCATTCCCCATAGGAAACGTTGTGATGGCAAGATTGATTGTCCTCTTGATTCCAGCGATGAATTAGATTGTTGTAAGTTGCAGCGCTTGAAGGAGAGGAAAATAACTACTTACTATCATCAGTAGTAACAGTATTTGGTTCATCATTAGTAAGGACTCAAACAGTTACGCACGCACTCTTTTAAATACTCTGTTAGTTCCAGAAAGAATGTTTTATCTTGTGCCAGATCCAGATTTGGTAATACACAGTCCCCCTTTTGTATCTGTCTTCCGTCTCTTAGCTTTCACTCTGTACTGTATTACATTCCTGTTCCAGGGTTACACCTGTCTGTCTCAGGTCTTATTATATTTTCTTAAAAACTTTGGTGTATTGAAGTCATACAGTGTGTAATTGTTGGAATCCTTACCAGTTGTCCAAAATGAATAATCTACTAAAATGCTATTCATCATAGTAATAGTAGGTGTTTTAATGCAGTCGGCACTTTAATGCACTCCCGGTGCGGCAGAGGATGTTTCAGATGAGTAACTGCAAGCAGAAATACGAATACTAAACAGAATGACAGTAAAATGGGCTACTGCATGTTTTGATGATGTTCTGAACAATGCTTTCCTAAACAAAGGGTTTTCAATTTCTGTAAAACATCATTTTAATAGTTGAATTTATTGTCTTATGTAAATTTTAGTTGTGAAACATACTTTCTGTGTTCATCATTTTCGATATATAAAAGGAAAATCATCATTACAGGTCTAAAGTTCTATTAAAACATTCTCTTTTACCACCTCATACTTTTTTTCTGTGGCGCAACATCCAGAAGTCGATCCCTGGCCTCCTCCCATGTGCGAGGTTTCTTTGTTTTGTCTTTTAAGTGTGCATTTACGAGTAGTGAGTGACAAGCCCACTGCCTCTGCATAATTTCTACTCAATCCTGATTTTTTCTGCTAGAGCCATGTAGCAGAGAATCAGGAGAGACTTTGGTGAGAATTGGCTGATGAATTTTGCTTACGAAACATCTCGTTCATGCTCATAAGGTTCTTATACGTGCCATAAATCAACGACATGGAATGGGACCACTGGCATTACTTCACCCTCCAAAGGAAGTTGTGCTATGGATTTTTTTATCACCTTTAAAAATCCATCAACCTCGGCCGCGAACCTTGGGTCCAGTGGCGGGCGCGCTAACCACTAGTCCACCGAAGATGACACCCCCTCATACTAAAATTGTGTAAAAGTGTTTTCATGGAACAATTAATACAAACTTGTTCATGCACACTTTTATTTGGCTACTTTCCCTGAATGTAACAGGTCATTATATTAAAAATCTGCAGTCCTGTATAAAGAAATGTTACTTGTAAGTCAGTCTTTAAATGTTATGTAGGAAACATGAGATCATTACAAAAGCAAATTCAGTTCTATCATCAAATGGTTGTAATGTTTCACCTTTGTCAGTAATGGTAGATTAACAATATTTAATGCTGTTGGTTGTTAATTTAACATTCTAATGTGTATAGAATATTAATGGGACTGAATTCATTTATTGGAACAATGTTATTTTAATGAACCATATGGAATTAATGTACTTGTTTGTAATTTATAATAATTAACCCTGTAACTATGTTGACAGCATTGTTGGTGTATTGTCATCATGCATTCTTAGTTTCATGACTAATTCCTAACGCCTTACTGAGGTAGTAAACATTCTGAATACTTATTTATGTCAAAGGAGTTTTGTTTAGATTTCTAATGCCGTTTCTGCAACTTTGGTCACTTTGTGGGTGGGACAATTTTCTGCAGTGCCTTGTCTGAGCCCAAGGCTGAACGTTAACACCGTTGTCCTACGATGGTAACATGTATTGTCATGCCTTAAGGCTGAATTTTCAGTCATTTCATAGTTATTTTGTGTATTTGTGTAAATAAATTAAATTGATTCTGTTTTAACAGCAAGTGGCATACAAACCATAGCTTGGTATGTTTGGAATGGAATATTTTATTTATTTTACTAATTTTTGCAGATCTGCTCATAATTAAATGTGTACAAATGTATCTTTTTGAAGTTACATGTCTAGAGACTTGCTAAGTCCATAACATTATGCTGCATTATTGAAGAAGAGCCTTAGATAAAGAGACACGAATTTAATGTCCCTCCAGCAGCTAACATACCAGTTCTTTCCCAGGTACTCAGTTGAGTTTCCATGGCAGTGTGTTTTCTGGAATTTTTACCCAAACTTCTCTTGGTGTAAACATTTTGTGTCTGTCCTGGCTGCTGTATATTCTTGCTGTAGGCATACTGTGAGTGGTGTAGTTTGTACTAAATTTTAATATGTAGAAGTTCCATTGCATTTACAATAATAAACTGTTAAATATTTGATTGCATTTATTTCAGGTACCTGAATAATGGTGGCTTCTTTGTCAATTTGTATTGCATGGCATTGATTATGTTGTCTTTGTAAAATATTGTGGTGGATGCAAATAATTATTTTATCGACTAATTTGTTTCTAATCTGTTACTTTATTTCTGTACTAATAATAATAGTACAGTAGTTAATTGTTATGAAACATTTTTGTTCATATGAGTAAGTATGTTAGAATGGCTGTATCAAATTCCCTTTTCAGATTATTTTCTTTTTACATATAAAAAGGATAAATAATTTATTTTTAATTTGAATTACAGCTTTTATAAAAGTTTAAACAAGTTCAGAGTTCTTTTGCAGTGTTAAAGTCATCATCAACTTACATGGATTACTTGCTGTTTTAAGATTTGTATCAAAGAAAGCAACACACATATATGCAGATAAAATGAATGAAATATGTCAAGATTATTTTGTAGACTCGTATTATGTTGGACCTGTCACAGTATGAATGATTTAAAAAAGTGGGCAGTTCCCTCATATCCAAAAGCATTCATCACAGGCCATTCATCTACGAGGGTCGCTCATTAAGTAATGCCCCACATTTTTTTTCTCAGCCAATAATGAAGATAGAAAAGTGTACTTTTACATGCTTGAGATTTGATGTTTCCCGCGTTCGTGTACGGAGTTTCAAATGATTCCAACCGATAGCGGAGCTGTAGTGAACTGTTAAAATGGCGTCTGTGAACGACTCTCGGTACAAGCAACGAGCTGTAATTGAATTCCTTGTTGCTGAAAAAGAAACGGTGGTGAACATTCATAAACGTTGGTGTGCTGTGTATGGAAGCTGTGCAGTCGATAGGAGCACCGTTGGTCGCGGGGCTAAGAGAGTTAAAGCTTCAGGAAGTGAAGAAACCGAGCTCCGTCTCACAGCAGACCACAGGATTCAAAGGAAAACGATTTCTTCTGAATTGTTGGAGCGTTTTGATGCTGAGGGAGAGGTCTTTCTGTCCCGGATCATTACAGGTGACGAAACCTGGATACACCACTTTGAGCCAGAGACAAAAAGGCAGTCAATGGAGTGGCATCATCCTCAATCACCGAGAAAGAAGAAATTCAAGACAACTCCCTCCGCCGGAAAAGTCATGATGACTGTCTTTTGGGACAGTGATGGGGTCATTCTTGTGGATGTGATGCCAAGAGGTGCGACCATCAATTCAGACGCGTACATCAGGACCCTGAAAACCCTCAAGAAGCGTTTTCGACGAGTTCGGCCTCACAAGCATCCAGCAGAAATTTTGCTCCTGCACGACAATGCACGCCCTCACACAAGTCTGAGAACCCGGGAAGAAATCACCAAATTGGGTTGGACGGTGCTACCCCATCCACCCTACAGTCCAGATCTGGCACCCTCCGACTTCCATCTCTTTGGGCCCCTTAAAGATGCTATCCGCGGAACAAGATTTGAAGATGACGAGAGCGTGATTCAAGCAGTGAGGACATGGCTACGGGGACAGGACAAGAGCTGGTACCGGCAAGGCATGCATGCCCTTGTTCCACGCTGGCGTAAAACCGTACAAGTTGATGGGGACTATGTGGAAAAATAGTATGTGTAAAGGAAACATTGATTTATATTGTCACTAAATTTGAGCCATCTTGAATAAATATGTTCTGAGGAAAAAAATGTGGGGCATTACTTAATGAGCGACCCTCGTATTTATTCGTACCACAATAGTGCTGCCATTGGACTAAAATTATCATTTTAAATTTTAAAGTCTTCCATGTTAGAAATGTTATGACACAGAGTTTAGGCGAGTAAGCTCTGTTAAAACGCCATCTATATGAAAATCCTGTCGTGTAAAAGGTTTTCAGATATCATATCCATAAGTGAAACTGGTTTGAAAATAGCTGTCGAGTTGCTTGAAGGAAAAAAATTCTTTTTTATGAAATTTTATGTAAAATGTATAAAATCAAATATTTCACTTGTAATGCTTGTCCAAGACAACAGCTTGTTTGTATTAATGAAGTAATTTATGTTGCTTCCCCAGCACGTAACCCAGCCGGACTGAACTTGAAGACGTATCCCGAAGATCAAGTGATAGAAGAAAGTAAGTACAAATTTCTACAATATTTTTTTTTAAATTTATTTTCAGACAAAAATGGTAGATTTATAAATGTGCATGTAAAAGGATAAAAGATTTGAGTAGTAAAACAAAACTGCATTTCATTAAAATTGGTTTCATTTTCAGTAATTTTTTTTAAACATATTTGAAGTTTGTTTGATTCTTGTTCTTTGTAGAAGTCAGTTTCCAGTGTCCATGCTTACCAAATCAGATATGTGTCTTTATCCTTCATCCACTTTCCACTTTGTTTCGTGCGCTTGGGGCACATACAGCAATCCGGTTGACAGTCTGTCTACACAACAATTTTTTATTATGGTCTCAGCGTTTCTTAAATTCCACTACATGTATAGAACTTAATTGATCATCGTCAGGTGGTTCTCGTTAAGTGCTTGGAACCAATATATATGACTGCTAAATTTTATTCATATTTGAAACAGAGAACATTAATGTGGATCAGTGGGATTGCTTTACAGTCATTTATAATAAGTATGCATCTGATACAAATGGTATTTTTGTCTGAGGGATGAATAATATTTTCAGTTGTAGGATCTGAGGTTTTCACGGCGGTGAGTCTGAAGATGGCCGTCTTCCGGGTTGTTGTTACGTGCAGTCTGGTAGAAGTTTACTGACGTTTCAGAGGTCCTTGCTGACTCCTTCATCAGGTCCGTGATGATAGAGGTGGAAATGTTATCTGAAACGTCGGTAAACTTCTACCAGACCGCACGGCACAACAACCCGGAAGACAGCCATCTTTATGATTTCCAGTTTGTAAAAAAAGTGCAGAAGGAAATATCTGGGCTTAAGGGAATTTTGTGGGAATGGAAGACATTTAGTCTTTTCCTAATAGGTTTATTATTAGGTAATTGAATCAACAAGAAACAAGAATGTAAGATTTGAGGTTTTCACAGCGGTGAGTATGAAGATTTCTCTATTCTGGGTTGTTGCGCTTTGTAGTCTGGTCGATGTTTACTAACGTTTCGGAGGTCATACTGCCTCCGTCATCAGGGCGATGAGTATGAAGATTTCTGTCTTCTGGGTTGTTGCGCT